AGAGTGAAGAGGAATATAGCTATGTACTCCTCTTACCACTGTATGCTTTGAGAATTGACCTGGAAAGCATACAGGTTTGGAAACCTTTGTTCTTTTTTAAGATTACGGGAAAGGTTGTAGAGATGTGTGAGTTTTTTTGCTTTTTAAGGCCATGGTAGCTAGCGCTGTACTGAAGAATAGCTGTGCTTAAAGTCAGGATTTTGCCACTGAACAAGCAGCAAAAGTGAAATTGCGTTTATGGAATGCTTAGTGTAAGGGACCAGGAAATACTAAATTTAAACAGCTTACAGCTTGTAGTGAAGGCTTCTTGCATAGTTTTTTTGCGTTCAGTCACTTTGGTAGTGAATTCTAGAGTCAGCTGGAATGCATCGTGTGTATTCTACAAGTTCCTGTAGAGCAGCTTTGGTATCTTATTTGACCTTATGGGCAGCACACAGATAGTTAGCTTTGGCTAGTCTGATAATATATGCTGTGGTGGTGTAGTAGCCACACAGCTGTTTCATGGAAAGCCTGCTTAATTTTAAAACTGGCAGTGTGATGAGTAATGTGACAGTTATTTTTCCTAAGATGTACCTGCAGGATTGAATGTCTTGTAAGGGGTATCAGTCTTTTGAGTCTCTGTGCTGTTTTTATATGAATAATTGCATAAAAGGAGGAGTTACCCTAAATGGTGGGGAACGGGAGTCTTAGTACAGCAATGTTATGGGAGGACAAGCAGTCAACCTTTGAAGTAAGTGCTCTCTGCCAGCACAACGTTCAGTTTCTCTCCAGTCTATCTAGATTCTTTTCTGATCTGTTTTTGTAGTAAATAATGTAACTTAACTTTTTCTTAATTCATTGACTTCCTGGCCATGTAACTGTTCAATGAGACATTGTCTTTCTGACCTTGTTTTAATTTGAACAAATTAGAGCTTGGTTACAAAGCATATGCTTAATTGTGAAGAATTCTGTAGCTTCTGGTTTTCAGATTGGCTTCATAACTGATATAGCAGTTCTGCAAATGCTATGGGTTATTTACATTTAGTGAGCACTTCAGTTGGTAATATTAACGTGGTTCTCACCTTTCTGATACCTATTGCCAGTCTGTTTTTAAAGGAAATATTAATGCTTTTTTAAGATCAATTAATAAAAAGTGATTAGCTGATTTAAGTTCTTGATTTGTGTACTCTTTGTGTTGTTGCACTAATCTTTGGTATACATTTTCTTATTCAGGTGATATTCATGGTCAGTATACAGACTTGCTTCGATTATTTGAATATGGAGGATTCCCACCAGAAGCTAATTATCTTTTCCTTGGAGATTATGTAGACAGAGGCAAACAGTCTCTGGAAACAATTTGCCTATTACTGGCATATAAAATCAAGTACCCGGAAAACTTCTTTCTCTTAAGAGGAAATCATGAGTGTGCTAGCATCAATCGGATCTATGGATTTTATGATGAATGTAAGCAAAACCTATTTCTTTTGAAAGACTGTAGCAGACTAATGTTGTGTTTTTGAGACACTTCTAGTAGTGACTCTTGTACTGCAAGGACTTCAATATTCTGTAAACCTGCTTTGAAATTTTCTAAAACTACATTTCAAACCGAGGCTAAAGGCATTCTAGAGAATTATTATTTGCCCTTCTGCTATCCTTGGAATGCTGTTGAAGGAGATTGAAATCTAAGTATACTAACAAATAAAGCCCTATAAGACGGTTTGCTAACATTTTTTATCAGGTTGGCTTTAAGAAAACAGCCTTCTCTTCCTAATGTCACACACTGTTCTTCTAGGCAAGCGGAGATTTAACATTAAGCTGTGGAAGACCTTCACGGACTGTTTTAATTGTCTGCCTATTGCAGCCATTGTGGATGAGAAGATCTTCTGTTGTCATGGAGGTAAGCTGCTGACTGCTTGTAAAGTCTGTCTAAACTGATCTTTGGGTTAATGCTATACCAAATGGAGTGTGGATGTGCATACCTGATACTTAGCTGGAGATGTTTAACCTTATTGTCTGTAAAGGTCACTGTTATGCCTTGTGCTTTTCTTTGCACCTGGCAGCGGATAGATGTCATTCTTACCTGATGCACATGGCCCTCTGTGCCTGAGGGGCAAGTGTGTCTATAAGTATTGTCGTCCATCTCTGAAGGATACTGAATGCTACAATTCTTGCCTAATTTCCCACAACTTGTTACTGTTATCATCTCTCAGTGCAGCCTTAGCTAACACTGGCATCCCTAGCAGTGAAGTGAAAGAATAATTTTCACAGGTAGCCTCAGCTCTATGGTCTTGGTCTCTTTAGCCAGTTTCATAAGATGTTGGTAAAAGGGACCTCTGAGGTCACATAGTCAAGCCTGCTGCTTGAAGACAGACATTTGTTAACATTAGAGCAGGTCAACCATGGCTTGCTCTGACTCCATAAAACCTTTGCTATTGGAAAATCTGTGTTCTATGGGCACCTGCTGCCCTGTTCTTGTAGTGAAAAAAGTGGTTGGTGTTGATCTGACTGAAGCTTGTGACTTATCTGAATATTAGAACTTACTTGGGCACTCTTCTTTGTAGGAGGGGACTCCCCATGTTTTTACAGGCAATGATGCTTATAGGTTTTCAGGACCTTGTAGAGGCAAAGAATTGACAACAACTTCAAATTACTTGTAGTAAGAACCATCCTGCCTTTTTGCAGCTGTCTTTGTAACTGCCTCCATTAATAAGCAGCTTGATGCCTTGCACCCAGTGATCCAGAGGTGATGTGGTAGGTGTCACACCTGCATTGTCAGTGAGATAATTAGAGATTAGTGGAAGTGAGAGCACTGCAGAAACCTCTAGTTTGATTGAACAGCTCCATTTGGAATTAGAAATAGCATGGACCCAAAATTCCTGAGCAGACTCTTCCAGACTTTTGAGGTTGTGTTGATGGCTGCCATCCTGCCTTTATTAATTACAGGTATATCTGCCAGAGCTTTACCTGTATGGAATGTGCTGTAAAAATGATCCTGGCTCTTCTTGCATCCTTGTATTGAAAGCTGCTGCCTTCAGTGGCTGCTGGTATAAGCTGTCAGTCTTACGCATAATATACTCTGAGGTATTGGCATGTCTCTGTAAATACAGAACTAATGCAATGATAGACAGTTGAGCCTGCCAGTCTCCAGGTAGTGTTGACATGTTAAAGAAAGTGCTTGTTTTCTCAGAGTTTATCTTTTCATCTTGTTCTCAATTAGTGTGGTGTCTTTTTTTCTTTTTTTTTAAGAGCTGGTACCTATCTTATGAGCTAGATCTCATAATTTTAAGAATATGAGATACAAAATCACTTCTGCACCGACGTAGCCAGTTATTAGTGGCTAAAACTATGTAATAAATTTGTTATCAAAAAAGCTGGCAAAGGAATTATTATTTTACTATCATTATACTTTTTGGGAAACAGTAGAGAATGAATGGTGACAAAATACTGTGGTGTTTCAGGCAAACAATTAAGTTTAGGTGGGTGGTAGAAGTTAATCAAGGAAGCTTAGCAGGTAGAGTAGAATGCTGTTCTATGACAAAACTGATAGTTTTGTATGTACATGCACTTGAGACCTGAGTTATAAGCAAGAAGCCTAGAAGGCTGTTTTCAAGGAAAAAAAATTTAAAGCTTTATTATAAATGTATTGGGGGATTAACTTCTTGTTTAATCAAGCAGGAAAACTTTTTTTGTGCACAGTACGCTTTAAGGATCCTCTTATGCAAAGCAGTATTTACTACTTTATTAAATGCTAATTGTCCCTTAAACTTGTAGAGGCTTAATCTGTAACTGAAATTACTATCACTCACAACTGATCAGCAACTATGAAATAAAGTGAAAAGATGACTAAACGTGCCATGTGCTCCTAATAAATTAAAGTGGACATTCAGCACATAAATAAGTTTTGCCCTTTTTCTTCTCTTCTCCAAACCTATCCAAACTGCATTCCAGATCCCATGAAGTCATGAACTGTCAACGCCTTTTCATGATGTTACTACTATAGTAAACACTGAGGCAGCAACACAAACCATTCAACTCTGCTGGAGGTTGAAGCTAGCATGTTAGATATAAGGTAGGTGCCTTTTTTACTATATTGCGCATTTTTGCATAGTTTATTTTAAAAATATTGTCCTCTGGGATATATAATAAAACTTTGCAAAACCGCATAACATAGTAAAACAAAAGGCACCTAACTTACCCCAGTAGGCTATCTACAATAGCTTGAAATCCCGAGTCAACTTTTTTACCTGGATTTTTCTGGGCATCTGCTGTTTTGAGTTCTGTCTCACAATATAAATCAAACCTCTTACCATCCCTGTCTCCAAATGTTCATGCTGCTGAAAGGATCTTTCATTGTATCCTTCCCATCACCTCTCTCTCTCTTCTCTTGTCTTTCCACATTGCTCATACATATTTTGGTCTTTTCTTAAGGCTGCCCTCTTGACTGACTTCTGACTTTGCTCTTTATTTCGCTTAATTAAAGGTTATTCCATAACTATTCCAGTACAGTATTGTCCTCTTATCTATGACACCGCTCTAGTTCCAATCTTTAGAGGCCTTATGAAATTACTTCCAAGTTTCTATAAATTAAGTCCATGTTGTAGTGTCATGTTGATGGAGCACATTGGTCTTATCACATCGGATTTAAGCTCCGAGATGGGAGTCGTGTTAGTTTAGTAGAATACTGGATTTATGTAATAGTTTCAAGCTCTGGAATTCTCTTTTTCTTGTGATATTAATGACAATGAAATGTATGTTGAAGGTGAAGTCTACTTCATAATCTTACATAGTATCCAAAGAGACCTGAGGAGCTTCCTGGATTACACTATAAAAATAAGTAACCGTCATTCTTACTTTACCAATTCCACCTGATCAGGGAGTGGTTCAAATCTAGAACCTGGATTTGATGAGTCTGGCAGGAGCAATGACAACTCACTTCCTGTTTTCCCTTAGGGAAGGGGTGCTCTTAAGATTCCAGAAGATAGTATACTGAAAGATAATTCTCTTGTGCTTAGCTGTCACTGTGACAAGACAATTTAATTCAACTGTGTACTTTTCAGTTTTCTTCCAGTATGCAGTAGGTTGCAGCAATCACTGTAGTGGCAGCAGCTTTGCAGTGAGCTTTAGTAACCTGTGTTTGCATTCTTATTTCCTTCATTTAATGTTGATCATCTACAAATTTTGTCTGTAGATCTGAATTTGAGACATTAGCTATTTCTTTTTGTGCAGGGGGAGTTAGGAAGATATTTGGGAAAAGAAGACCTCTTGGGTGATTACCAAGAGGTCTACAAACAAGCAGGCAGTTTTGTGGGGTTTTGCTATTTTACAGTGGTGTAAAATGGTGCAAAAATGAATAGTTACAGGGTTGAGATGTGGTTTGTAATAACATGTTTTCTTTTAAAGAACTTCATGATTTGGGTGCGATCTGAAACATTGAGAACTGTAACCTCATAGAAGGTCACAAACTGGTTACGCTTTTTTCACTGAGATTGTCCATTACTATGTCAGGGTGTGGTGCTGAGTAGAAACAGTAGAATCTGCATGCCTTTGTGTTAATGTAATCTGCCTGCAAATAGATCAGATCTGGGGAAGGGAATGTGGTAGGTTGGTCAAAGTTTAAAAGCTGATTACCTGCTTGAATTTATATTAGTATCCATGTATTGTGTAAGTAGAGATGACTAAAACTCCTTTGATATGCTGTTCAATGTAAGATTTCTGCCATCCTTCACAACCTCGAGGTAATATTGTGAAGGCAGCTTTAACAAGCTGATGAGGATAGAAGGCTTTTATCATAAGACTGCTTCAACAAAAATGATCTAAAATCTTAATTCTTGAAGAAATCAAATCTTCATATCAGATCCATTGGTGTCATTGTTCCTGTAACACGTACATTGCCACTGTGCAAACTCTGTCAGTTGAAATTATATCATGCGGTGACTCCTTTCCAATGACAGGTTTTCTTCTATCATGTTCAAAGTTCTGGACTGAGTCAAATGGATATGGCTTGTTAACATGAAATGTGTTTCGTCACAAGTTAGGTCTTCATGCTCTATTTCCAAATTTACAACTTTCTTAATTAGATAATTTTGGCCTAAATAATTTAAGTCACTTTAGGACCTCTATATAAGGACATGTTAAGATGCTATAGCATCTAATGGGCTCTTTTTCATGCCTGTATGCCTCAAGTAGAAAACCTCTGGAGTGTGTACTTAAACTGTTCAAAGGGTGGCTTTGGAATTCCATGCTTTGGCTGTAATTTCATGTTAATATGGCAAAACTACGCAAGAGCAGCTGTGTCTTTGTGATAAATGATTTTTTTGAGTAATCGAGGTAATATGGTTTTATAAATGACTAAGCAGCTGAGCTATAGTAGATGACCACCTCTGTGCTCCTTATCTATTGCAGTTGCACAGTCTAATATTTGTTTACAGCATCCAGTGCCTGCTTCTCAGCTGATATGTGGTAAAACACTGAAATACAGTGATGTGCCTTATGAACCTAGTCATACCTGCAGGCTGCTTTGGCTTGTGATCTTTTTAAAGCTGGGTAGGGGATTTTCCTTTAGCTTTTATAAAGTAAGGTGGTTGTAAAAAAGGTAATCTGCACCCAGTTTAATTGTGTTAGATAATGGGAATGCTAGCTACCCTTCACTCGTTCTCTTGTAAGCTGTTTAAAAGAACATACTTAACTATAGAGGTCTGTGCTGTGTGGCTAAAAGGATGGTAGGAAAACAATTAAAACCCCTTGCTAATTTCACTTGTGTTATTCTCTGTCAGGAACTTAATTGTCTTACAGCAAACTGTCTTTTGTTTATATTACAGTGGAAACAATGGATGGTGTATGACTTTGAACCTCTAATTGTGTGTTCTTTGGAACCCTTTTTACAGGTAACATACTTGGATAAGTCACATGTTTTCTTGTACTTACAGGACTGTCTCCAGATCTCCAGTCAATGGAGCAGATCCGGAGAATTATGAGACCAACAGATGTTCCTGACACAGGTGAGTGACATGGAATGTACTGTAAATAAGTCTTAATGATGAAACAGGTTTAATCAATTTCTGTACAGGCAATGCAGTGACTTAACACAACCTTTGTTCACAGTACAGTATTCATTGATATCTGTGTGGGGCATGAGTCTTGTTCCTCATCATGGCTATATTATCTGATATGTTAGAGGCTATTGCCCTCGTTGTTATTGCTTGTCATAACAGAGTAGGATACATTATCCACAAGTTTGCCTTAAAACAAATCTAACGAAAGATCAAATGAAACTAAACAACTAGTTCTTTCTCTTGCCTTGGTTAGGCATACCCAAACTTTTTAGTCTATCAAAAACATAACTGTTTAAAGCTTGCTGAGTATTATTTACAGTATTGGGGCTTCTCTCTACTTGAGGCCATGTCTCCTTCCTCTTTAAATTTGTAAAGTATAGTTCCTACTTCAGTGCAATTGGGATTCAATTACTTGTATCAATGTGCTAGTCCTGAAATTTTCTTCTCCTAATGCATTAACACTTTGTATGTAGATGTTGGATGCAAATTGCCAGTGCTTTCTCGGCAGTATTCTTTTGAATGGTTTAATTAATCATCTTCCTCAATGTCCCATTTTTTTCCGAATTTTATTACTAGTGGATTGAAAAGACTGTCAAGCAGTACAGTGGGATATCTTTTAAAGTGTTCATTTCAACAGTAATCTGAAATTGACTTTCAGAGGAGATACCACACCTAGAACCTTCTTTTGAAACACAAATTACAATTACAGCAAAACCTTGCACTAGAAGAGTTCTGCTTCCTGTAATCTTCCTCAGTGCTAATGCATAGGAGTAATTCAGGGACTAATATTAATCTATCTACTGTCTCTTAAACAACATTTCTCTGCAAGCTGATATATACAAACTTGACGCTGAGAATCATTACTAGACTGGTGAATGAGTATTTCTGTAGTATAAACTACTATATTATTCTTCCATTTATGCTACTTGTTCACTCACTGTTTGACCAAATGTCAGTACAAGCGAGTCAATCTTTACATTTATCAGAGCTCTTGGAAGAGGTAGTTCTATTCAACAGGCTAATACTACTGCTTGAGCCACCCCCACTTCAGGAATGGCCTTGCAGAATGTAGTTCTGGTTTCCATGGACACTCCACTGAAATCATATGTATTCTTAGTACCTCCTAAAAATAAGTATAGTCGGGTTTTTTTTTTAAAAAAAAAAAAGGCTTTTGATATACGGGGTGGTTTGCAGTCTTAATTTTGCTTTCGGAAGCAACAGCTGGATGTTTACCGGCAGAGGTAAAATGAAATGTCCCATCAGAGGCATGTGTGCATATGGTACAGTGACATAGAAGGTCTTGGCCTTTTGGACCTATTTAAGGCAACCGGTGTTACAGAATGGAAGTAAATCGTGTGGAAAAATGAAAATAAACTGAAGTGGTCTCACTTCTGTGAAAGTTACAGGTCCTTAAAAGCTATCCCTTTGTGGAAGGATGTGGCTTGTTGAATGTTTGTGTTACAGAAATTCTTGGTAGATGTTCATGTGGCTTGTGCTGAGAAGATTAAATCATTATGAAAATTTCTTCTACCTTGATGCCTTTTCAACCTCAACTGCAATTTAAAGACCTCTTATTTTGGTGGTTTGGAAGCTGTTTGCTCAAATCTGACTCTATATTCCAGCTTCAATCACTTGCCTTTGGTAACTGTTAAAGTATTTGCATTTTGTGAGGCCAAGGTATAAATGCTGTGTTTTGGTGAGCATTGCCAACCGTTTGCCTATTAGGAAACTGTAACTCCCTCTCTTGTGTAATCTTGAATGCCTCATATCAGCTGTGTTATGGTATGTTCCTGGTCAGCCTAACCTATTGCAATGGTAGATGTTGCATGTTAAAATATAAACCTACTTGGGCAGCATAGTTTAGAGAAACTTGTTGCAGGGTTCTGTTACACCACTCCTAAAGATTATAGGACAGATTTGCCTATTGCTGTATATAACCCTAAAGATGATTTGATTTTCAGGAAGAGAATAGAAGAGGAAGCGCTTCCTAAGCAGCTGAGACAAGCAACTTCTGTCACTTGTTGGAAATTCATGATAAGAAACCATTAGGGATTGCAGTGCAACTATTCTGTTTTGAAAAACAAGTTATTCAATATGGAACTAAATTTCAGTAAAATAAATGGTTTGTCATATGCTATCTGTGTTCGGTAGTTTATTTCTAGATAAATATTTCATCTAAAATGCAGTTGTACTTGCTCTGTTCCTTGTCTTCTGAAAGCAAATAAAATCTTAGCCTCTGCTAGAGAACAACTGTGACTGGCACTATTTGATAGCTTTATGTAAATACAAAAGGTTCTAGTTGCACAGTAGGTTTCAGGCATTAGTTGTGCTTGATTACAACTTGAAGGATCTGTTATTTAAGAAATAGCATCTTCAGTATTTTGTTTAGCAAATAACCAGATGTAATTGTAAATCAAACTTCTGAGCGCCAGATAAAGGAGCCTGCTGGCGTCTCTTTCAGATTGTGAAACAATGCTCTTAAGTATATAAATGTCTAAGGGTTAGTTGTCATGGGTAAAGTACAATTCCATGGAAAACTATGAAATACACTTTGAAAGCTCTTTTGTTTTGTTTTTGTTGTAGTTGAATTGGCCTGGTTCTTTCTCATGTGAAAACGCTTTGAAAGCTCTGTGTATAGAGGCATTGCAGTTGATCTAGAGAAGTTTTTTTAGTACCCAGTTTTAACTCGAGTTAGCTGACCTTTTGTTGGCAGCAGAAAAAGATCTTGACCAGTGCTAAAATGCCAGAGGTTTATTGTTCTAATTTAGATTCCAGACTGGCTGGCATGAGGCTTTTTGAAAAGTCAACAGTAGTCCAAACAAACTGAAAGTGCTACCTGTAACAATATATCAGAATTTTGCCATGTTTAAATTTTGATTTAGTCTTTACATATGGTAAGAAAGGTAAGAATCAAAGCTGTTCCATGTTCAGAAGCTTGTGGTACAAGTTTAGTTGCTGTATTTACGAATGCCCTTGCATAAGATTTTAAAATTTACTGCAACTTTCAAACTAAGCTTTCTTGGAGGGCTGTGAAATTGATGGTTGCTTTTTAAAATGCACCCACTACGATATTTTTAAACTCTTCAAATGCTCACTGTAAACATGCTGAATATTACAATTAAATACTTTTTCGGAGAACTGTTTGACTCTGACTTGTTTCATCTCAAGGTACTATCAGTGGTGAGGCGGGGAAAATCTCCAGACTTACACAGACCGTATCTTTGGTCAGAGTCATAGTTTTAAGTATTGCTGAATTTGTTGCTAATTGGTAATTACAATAAAACTATTTTACATTATAGAATGATGCCTCCTAAGACTAACATATTCACTTATATTATCTTTCAAAGGCTTGCTGTGTGACCTGCTGTGGTCTGACCCAGACAAAGATGTGCAAGGTTGGGGTGAAAATGATCGTGGGGTCTCTTTCACTTTTGGTGCTGATGTGGTCAGTAAATTTCTGAATCGTCATGATCTGGATTTGATCTGTCGAGCTCACCAGGTATGAATTGTGCTGCTGTTGCTTCTTAAAACCTCTCCTTCTAGACGTTCTGCCTCTTTGGTGCTGCTTATCAGTAGGATATATTTGAAACTTACTTTGCATTGTGTTACTCTTTAAAAAAAAAAAAAATCTTCCTAATAAAAGGACTATAAGGCCATGTCCTTCTATTGACTCATATTGAACTGAGTGTCTCATGTCAGTGAAGTAAAATACTAATGCTAGATTTCCCCATCATCTCTTTCAATTGTATTGTCTGTTTACTGTTGGACTTGTATATGAACATCAGAGGTAAAGTGTCCAGGTTTAAAGTGGCAAAGTGACTTGAATTTGAGATTACACTGAAGTTTGAGTTCTTCCATTTCAGTAGTAGTCAGTTCTCTGGTAGTTGTGGCTTAAACTATCTCTGCTTCACTTCATGGAAATACTAAATAGATTTTGAGTATTGCTACAAACAAGTCTGTACATAAAAGCTTTCACCATTGCCTTCATTTTGGTTCAGCTATCTAGAGTACTTTGGCATAGATTGTTTGACTTTCTGAAATGTGCAGAAAGCAAGGTTATTGACCTAAACAAGCTTGAGAGGTGGGCCGATGAGAACCTCATGAAGTTCAACAAAGCCAAGTGCAAGGTCCTGCACCTGGGTTGGGGCAGCCCCAAGTATCAGTACAGGCTAGGGGATGAAGGAATTGAAAGTAGCCCTAGAGAGAAGGACTTGGGCGTACTGATTGATGAGAAGCTCAACATGAGCCAGCAGTGTGTCCTTGCAGCCCAGAAGGCCAACTGTATCCTGGGCCGTGTCAAGAGAAGCGTGGCCAGCAGGTTGAGGGAGGTGATTCTGCCCCTCTACTCCGCCCCCATGAGACCCCACCTGGAGTACTGCATCCAGCTCTGGGGCCTCGAGCACAGGAAAGACATAGACCTGTTGGAGAGGGTCCAGAGGAGGGCCACGAAGATGATCCGAGGGCTGGAGCACCTCTCCTATGAGGAGAGGTTGAGAGAGTTGGGGTGGTTCAGCCTGGAGAAGAGGAGGCTTCAGGGAGGCCTCATTGCAACCTTCCAATACTTAAACGGGGCCTGTGTGAGAGATGGGGACAGACTTAGCAGAGTCTGCTGTGACAGGACAAGGGGTAATGGTTTTAAACTAAAAGAGGGTAGATTCAGATTAGACATAAAGAAGAAGTTTTTTACAACGAGGGTGGTGAGACACTGGGAACAGGTTGCCCAGAGAGGTGGTGGAAGCCCCATCCCTGGAAGCATTCAAGGTCAGACTAGACCTTGGGGCTTTGAGTAACCTCATCTATTTGGAGATGTCCCTGCTTACTGCAGGGGGGTTGGACTGGATGATCTCTAAAGGTCCCTTCTAGCCCAAATGATTCTATGATTTTTGGCATCTTCAATCTTAAGTACACCACTTCTTGCAGTTTTTAAGTTACTTTAAGCAATTGTCCTAGTTAGGTGGACATCAAGTTTCTGTTTCCTGTATAACATTTCAGCATTATTTAGTCAATTTTAAAAGCACTCTCCTGCTGTGAAACAAATAGGCCTTTTATTCTGTGTCACTGTTAGGCTTGGGTATACCATCAGAGCACTTAAATATTTCTCCTTGCAATTTTACTGCGAAAACATTAGAGAAGATTAGTCAGTGTGTGGAATGGATTTTAAGATTTCTTAACTGTTGATCAAGATTGCTACCAATTTCCTGTGTTCATGTAGTCACTTCAGTTCTTTATAAAAGAAGTATAACATCTTTTAAAAGACCGTGGTGATTGGACCAAAGTGAGCAGTTGGTGCGCTTGTTTCACTACATTGTAATGTGAGGCTTCTGTTCTGGGGAAGAGGCAACATCCTTGGCTGATGCATCTTACTACTTGCACTATTTTAAAGGTGAATTATGCTCTTAGAGAAAATATGGCAGAACTGCTTTGCTTTTAGAGTGTCAAAATTATTAAAAAGCCTGCACGTGAGGTTTGTACCATCAACACCAGTGTAAATGAAACTTGAGGGTTAGAGTTGCAATGAAGGTGGTATCCAGACCTAGTATGCTCCGAGCTAATAGGTTGAACGTCCAAATTCTGTGTATAAACCATAAAATGCTGGGAATCCTTAAACTGGCAGTGCATAATTGGACTTCAAGTGTGAAAATATTGTATAGTCAAGCTGATGCATATTGAACATTGGAAGTGTCAGACAGGCTAAGCTATGTCATTTGGCACTCGGTGTCCAGATAAGACAAAATGACCGAACCTTGTCCTGTCTGAAAGCCAAGACATAAAATAGCTTTTTGATGAGTTCTTGTTACCTGTTTTAATATAAGTCCTGTTTGCCTCAAGACTGGCTTTTTTTCTTCAAAATTTACCTTTTTTATGTGAGTTGTATTGATTTCTCTGGTGTTGACAGGTGGTTGAAGATGGATATGAATTCTTTGCTAAAAGGCAGTTGGTCACCCTATTTTCAGCTCCAAATTATTGTGGAGAGTTTGACAATGCAGGGGGCATGATGAGTGTGGATGAAACTCTGATGTGTTCCTTTCAGGTATGATATATTTGTACATTAAGTTTTACTTTAGGTGTTGGGTTATATGGACTGAGTTAGTCTCCTTGTTGACATGCTTATGGTTAGTCTAGGGTAATACACTTGAGCTATAGAAAGGACTGCACAGCAGACTGATGTTTGTGGACAATTAGAACTGCAAACGAACTGTTCTCCACAGAACTGTGTGGGATTTGCTATTTTTCCAAACTCCTGCATATGAAGTTATTCACTCTATTCAGATGATTATTTCAAAGTTTAATTGGGTGGTTCTTTTTAGTCATACCTACTGATCAGAGTACTTAATTATGCAGACTAATGGACTGTTTGGGACCCTTTTAGTGTGGTTACTCTGATCAGATTTTAATCCCTGCTCCTACCTGGACATGTTTTCAACCTCTTTTCTTTCCCCTTCCCACCCCAATGTAGTGTTAGAACTAGAAGGACTTAGAAGTAGTATTACTGTTGTATGTAGGATTAAAAAATTTGTGGGATTGTGATGTGACTTTTCCCCCCTACCCTCACCTCTCGTGTTTTTTTTTTGAATGAGATTTGACATTGGCTTAACAGTATTTGAAATGTTCTTAGTTGCCACTGACTCAAAAGAACTTCTTTATCTTCTCTAAGATATTGAAACCATCTGAAAAGAAAGCCAAGTACCAGTATGGTGGACTGAATTCTGGGCGTCCAGTCACTCCACCTCGCACAGCTAATCCACCGAAGAAGAGGTGAAGAAAGGAATAATATAGAAACACCATCAGATCTGTCAAGGACAAAACTCCATATTACAGTATATAATAAGTGTGCACTGTAAAACCATCCAGCCATTTGACACCCTTTATGATGTCACACGTTTAACTTAAAGAGACGGGTAAAGGATCTTTATTAATTTTTTTCTAGTAGAAGGATGTGCGACACTGTATTGTAACAAGTATAGCTCCAAGTTCTAATATCCAGCATAGAGTAAAAAAAAAAAATTAGGAAAAAACTATTGCAACTACATATTCACATTTACCACAGTTTTCAAAGTTGACCAACATCCCAGGTAAAAGTTGATGTAATAGTTAAACCAGATGAGAGCATGATGTTCCATTTGTGTGATGTGGTCTTATTGTTGCTTGATTGCTTTTACTTTGGTTATTTTGTAGCTAGAATGATGCAAATATGGTATCTAGTCTTATTTCCCGACTCTCTCTTTGAAATTGAAAGAAGGAAGGGGCTTTTTAGAACAGCCATTGATCTCTTATCCTCCCCCTAGCCCCCACCATTGTTCATAATGCCACCCAAATGTGTGCCCCATTATAATGCAAAGGTTATAGTATGGTAGTGATTAAAAGGCAAACTAAGTCCAAATTACCCAGACTGGACAGCTTGACAGCCAACATAAATTGAGGCAGAAAAACCTGTCTTGACTTTTTAACTTAAACTGCCACACAATGAATTTGTGCACTACACTATTTTAAATTATTGACGTTACACTGTGCTATGGCACTTCATTTAACTTAGGACAAAAATGGTATTGCCTATTAGTTGGTAACTTGATTATGTGGTACCTTGGCTTTAGTTTTATTAGCATGAAACACCTTTGGCATGCTTAGCTTCCAGGTAACTCCCTACCTGCATCAAAATTCATCTTACATAGTTCCACAGAACATGAAGATCCTTATTAGCAAAGCCTTTGAAAGCTGACATTCTTTTTCATAAAAGGGTGTGTTTAAATGGATGTTCATCAATGGACAATAGGCTAACTGACGAGTGGTGAGCTGAAAATGCTATAGGAATGTCCAACATGATTATAAGGCTTATGTCACTAAAGATTATATCCTTTGGATTTTCATGATCAAATTTCATATACTATTGTATAGACTTCTGCTTTGTAGTGTACTATAGTAGCAATAATTTCTGTACATGATCAAGAGTTATGCAGTATTTCTTTTCAATTCTCTCCTTTCTTAAAAGAATTAACATTGGCAAATGGCAAGACATAGAGAAGATATAAAATTTATAGTAGGATAAATGAAAGGCACAGATTTGTGATGCTTTAGGATGCAATACTTACTGGACATAACTACAAAAGCTTTTATTGAATATTGTCAAATTTGTAAGATTCTTTGGGGGAAGGCTTCAGATTTATACCATTCTAAACGTGCATCAGTAGATGTAAAACTCTTCAGTATTGTCTTTGAAAATGTAAAATTGAGGATTCTGGTAACTTACGTTTTAGGAACTGGCACATTATATAATGCAAGAGATATATTGATTTCTGACACAGTGAGCAAGTTCTTTAAAATGGATTTAAGTCTCTTTTCTAATTCCATTTTGTTTTAAATGCATATTTTAAATGTAGGTTTTTTCATTTAGTAAAAGTTGTCTAATTCATTTGAATGAAGTCTGACTGGTTATTTTAACATATCTTACTGTTATTCAAGAAGTGTGGAATTTTTTGTTTTAAAAAAAAAAACAACCAAACTTACAGCATGTATAGCTGATATTAATTTATATTGGATTGGTCTGGTTTTGAACAATGGTTTAATTTACCCCACCTTGAAGCAAGCACCAGAGTTTCAATACATAGAATAAAACGTAGACTACTTCTGATACTGCTCAAAGACGCTTGTTCTTGAAAGTCAGTGATGAAAGCTGTGTAAGTGAGAGTAGCTTCAGTTTGTGACAAGGTAATTGATGAAACCTATTCTCTAAGCCTTGACAGGGTAACTTCCTGCTCTAAGTCATTGCTTACTTGAGGTTTAGTTTTACTAGTTTTGAAAATGCTGGGTTTTACCAAGTGTCAGCTTCTATTGTAAGAAGCATCCTGTTACCAAACATCTGGATTAACACTTTTCCATTTTTTCCTTAGTTTCTGGAACAATGTCTTCTGTATCATGAAATGTCCAGGTGTAAAGCTGTATGTTATGTGAGTACCTAACATGCTCGCTTGTATTACAGATGCTATGTCAAAAGGAAAATAAAGTCTTCAGGCCTTCTTCGTGTCCTAAAGAAACAGGAAATTCTTAGTTTATTTTATGGCACTAGAAAGCCAGATCTGGTGATGGTATTCTGAAGAATTGCTGGTTTTATATAACAGCAATCACTTGTAAGGGATTTGAGTGCTGTTTCGACTTCTGGGGAGTTGGGACGTCTGCTAACATCCCTCATCATCCTATATGATTTACATTATTTAATAACCTTACCCTTACAGATATGATTGATGTTCCATACTAAAACCAAGTCAAAAGCATCGGATACGTAACAGAACTCGCAATACCACTTCAGCTTGTTTGCAATGTTGATGTAGGTCCTTAGTATTTTTACAATTGTCCATTCTGGAAGAAGAAAAGAGAACCTGAATCTAATTATACTCAGATAAAGTTAACTTTCTTTCATGGAAATCACTAGTGGTCTAATTGCTAATAAGTTTTTTTCCATGTAAACATTTGTCCATACAAGCCTAATATGCTGCTAAATAGCATAGTGTTAGTGTGCTGGGAAGTAACAGGAGGATTCTCAAATGAACTGTTAAGAGGCGTATGAAACATTATACCATTTGAGGGATATTTTTGCATGTTCTCCCTCCACCCCCTTTTATCTGACAGTAATATCCATTGCTGATTTCATAGCAGAGTTCAACATGGCACATAAGCTCTTGTCTTGTTCCTTTTTGATTGACAGGCGTTTTGTGATTCCCAAGCACTGGAGAATACCTGCTTTAATCTAATTTAAAAATATTGCTGCAGGGAGTACTTCTTTGGTCTCTTGTGTTGATTGATATGAGATTCTTGTTTTACATCCCTTTTTTTGTATGCTTCATAGTAGTCAGTGTTTTCTATGAATGGAATGTTCATAATTGTTTGCTACTTTAAAGGGAGGAAAAAGTGTTTCATATAGTTGTGGTTATTGTGCTGCTCTGATACTTTGAATGTTATTTCTCTTTAGGTTGTGTTGTTTGTACTGATCTGATCTATTTCCAAAAAATGCTGTAGACATAGACTCACCAAAAACACTGTAACAGGTCTTATACTGGTGGATTGTATTCAGTTTGCTACGTCTGGACACACAGAAATAATTGTGGCCACTGAAGTCTGAGTTCATCTTTCTGCTTCTAACTTACTGTGATTAACTGCAAGTGTCCTGCTAGATGTCACCAAGCTTCAAAATCATGTTATGACAACAGTTTGCATTTGTACTGTATTCTTGTATTTGTACTGTATTGTACGTATGACACGGCTTGTCGTATCCCAGTGCAGTGTGTTGCTGCGTACTTACCTGCCTGGGAAACTCTGATGGAAATTCTTCAGATCTGTGGAAGGAAGTTGCTTTTATTGTTAATAGCCTACATCCTGTTGTAAGGTGGTTTGAAAATAGAGAACCTCTCTGCTGTGTTTCTGCCAAAAGATGATAGGAGTTCATGAGCAGCAAGGTATCTTTTATATGAAGAACTGTTCTGTCTGTGGCTTATCTTTTGATAAGTCTGAGAGGATATTGCCATCATACCGTGGAAGCTGTCAGATTAAATTACTGGAGCTGTATGTGGTTAGTTTGGGATTGGCAGACACATTTTTTTGCTCTGTAGTAATGGAAACATAAAAGACAGTACTGCTATCGATTATGGTCAGACTGAAGGTGACCTGAGAGTAAATCTGTTTTGGATAGTTGGAATTTTCAGAATACGTAGATGACAAACACAAATATCCCATGCTTGGCCTTTGGTGTAAAGCTCAAAGGTTAACAGAAAATGGTACCTGCTTTGTAAAGGCTTATGTAGATAATAGTTGTAAAAACCTAGCATTTAACTGGGTGTTGAATTTATTCCTGGCAAACTGTCAATGTTGTACCCATGGCTGGTGTTTCTGGAACTTTCCTTGTTCTCAGGTTTGTTGGAGATGAAGACACTTTATACAAACCTGACAGGTAACATTACAGCTTAGCAAAGAGCACAGGTGAAGTGATACTGTCAATATTGTATTGCTTTTGAACTTGGTTGAGTTGTAACTTGATTCATGATTGGCATCTGCCTGCTTTGTAATGTACATGAGGATAAATGTGAATATTTGGCTTCAAATGAATTGGTGAAAAAGGCAAGAGTACGTTTCCTTATGCTGGAGCAGAGATGACTACAGCACAGTCAAATGTCTCTGAGTCCACATGGGCTAATAATATGCTTTAAAGAGCAGTGTGGTTGTTTTAATACAAAACGAAGTTGTGATGAAGTTCATGCACATAATCATTCTTGTCAATAAAAAGGAACTCAAGGAATCAATACCAGGCTTGGGATATTTAGGCATAGCCCTGGATGTTTTTTTCTCTGCTGTCATCTGTTTGCTTCTGCTAATTAGCAGTAGGAGCTTTCAAGCTTGCTCTCAGTGCAGCTATATACTTTTTTCTCCTGGATCATACATTGATTTTGCTTGCTTTGTTCCAAAGGTTGATCAAGGTTTTGATGACAGCATCTAACCAGGTGGCTGCATGTGACTCGTGGGCTTCTAACCAAGCATTCTTCTCACTGCATGTATCAGATGATCAAAGCTGAAGGAACCTCAGGCCATGTTGGACTGAACACTGGAAAACCATGTGACAGTAAGTCAGTGTTGGGACAGTAAATAAGGTACCAAAATAAGACACAAGTTTTGGTACTTTGTGGTGTTACGGGTCTGGAACTGGTAGTGCCTGAGCATCCTCCTTGGAGATCCCCTGCATTGTTGGGAAATCAGCAAAGCTGTCTGGTTATTTGTTCTGTATCTTAGTGTGCTTATTTAAAATAAATAATAATGATCTCAACATCTTAATTGGTAATAAGGACAAAATTTCATTCTGTTTCTCGGTGTCCTGATTAATCTCTGCACCTGTATGTCCCAAGAAATGAGAATTTAAAAAATTCAAAATAACTGTTCACCACAAGCCCTTGCCAATACATGGCTATAGTAATCTTTTCCAAGGAAAACTTACTGCTCCCTGAAACACTCTGAACAGGTGGAGCTTTAAACAGAGTATAGACACTACATGTGGCCTAGCACAGCCCTTTTCCTGGCTTCTGCTTTAGTTAACAGAATCTGCAGCCCAAGCTTCCTGTTCACCCTACTGCAGACTTGGTCTTAGAAGCAACCATATCAACAAGCAGGTGCTAACTACATCCAGCTGCTAATAAAATCAGCAAAAGCTATTATGTATCTTCAGGTGGAGATGTGAGCTTTGTTAAAGATGAGAAAAGTTCCTGGGCAGAGCTCTAGAAACAAGCACCACTTGAAAAATCCTTTTGAAATAGGATAGACATGCCCAAATGCTAAGTTCCAGTGTTTTAACTTAACCTGAGTTACTGTTAAATGGAGGAAGTAAAGCAAATAGGCAGGATTACAGTGTTTCTGCTCTCTTACAGATAGCTGATACTCAAATTTTGCAGAGAGCAAAATAATTAAGTTACTGATTTTTCCCCTTCATAGAGAATTCTGCCTGCTCATGTTGCTTTAAAGGTTTGAATCTACACGGTGCAAGAGAGAATGCTGTAGATGGACGCAATTAATTATTGAAAAGGCTTAGCCAGAAAAAAGATGGTATGTTGCAGACAAACTGGTGCAGCTCGTGACATGAAGCAGAGGAGCACACAACATCGATAAATGCAGAGGACAACCTTGACGAGTAAATATATTCCAATGTAATGTTTTTCTCCATCTCTTTGAAGTCCTAACAAACCTATAGTAATGTGAAAATAGTTACAAGTATTTCACGTTGTTCCCTCTGGCTACTTCCTAGCAGCATTTCTACAGTTCTTCATATAAGTCCCTCATTCTCTTGTCGAATTTCTGAGCATGTATAAATGAGTAATTTTCCACTAGCTACCCCAGAATATTTTATGTTTATATCCCTGGTTGCTATTCCTGAGCGGCGGCTTGCACCTTCCACAAAGATAGAACATGTATCATTTCTGTGAAATGATGGGAGAGGGAACGTATTATGAGAATTACATTTTAATGGACATCCTAACTGCACCTTAATTGCATCTAGTTTCCAGGAGGCTGCGTTATGAGGATGAGCTGTAAGACTTAGAGCCCCATTCTGTTGAAGCAGTGATGGAGAACAAACCTTATTTAATTCTTTCCTAGTCAAGGCTCTTACGTAAAGGTAGAACGACAAACAACTGACATGCTAGTCTTAGGCTTTTGCCTTGCCTTTACCACCTAGAGTAAGAGGATGTATTTTCCTTGGTCTGTCTTGCTTATGCAATACAATAATTTAACAGTTACTTAATGGAAAAGACTCAATCCAGTTGATGTAACAATTTTCTTCATGTTAGAATTGGTCTAGCATGCAGATGCCATCTAGTGGTCGAAGACCAGTGGATGAAAAACTATTATTGCAGAACTGGCATTTGATTGCATGTTTATCCTGCACTC